GGAAGTTCTGCGCTGGGAGCCAGGGAGAAATGGAGCTGGAGCAGAGAGAGGGGTCCATGGCAGCCATGGGCTTTGAGGAGTTCTCAGCACCTCCCGGCTAGGAGCTGGCTCTGCCTCTGCTGAAGGTGGTCACATCCTGGAGAGTGAGCTTGAGACCAAAGTGGAGTTCGTGTCTGGGGGTCTGGGCAGCTCCAGCCTCCAGGAGCGAGATGAAGAGGAGGAGGCAGCCTGAGGCCGGCAACGGCAGTGCCAACGGGAACTCAATCGCAGGAAGTACCAGGCGCTGGATCGCCGCTGCAGGGAGATCGAGCAGGCGATGGAGCGGGTCCTGAGCAGGCTCCATCAGATATAGAGGATAACACAGAGACTCCAGCAGGAGCGGAGGTTCCTCATGAAGGTGCTGGACTCCTACAGCGACAACTACCAGGCCAGCCAGTTCACCATCTTACTGGAGGACGAGGGCAGCCAGGGCACAGACACCCCCACCCCAGGCAAGGCTGAGTACAAGCCTCCAGAGAAAGAGGGGCTGTCCCCGCGCAGGAGGAAGCCAGTGCCCACAGAAGCCAGCGGCCCGGCCTCTGGCGAGGGGCCCAGCGGTTGGAAGAGGCAGCGAGTCCCACCGGAAGGGAGCCGGGCGGGAGTCCCGCTGACTCCAGAGCTGGCCCCCATGCAGATAAAGGTGGAGGAAGACTTTGGCTTCAAAGCGGTCGAGGCTCTGGACTCAAGTTGTGTTTCCCGGGGGCCAGAAAAGTAGCTGCCCTACCCCACCCTAGCCAGCTCCCCCTTTGACTGACTCCCCAATAAACAGACCCCATGCTCTCCTCAGCAAAAAAAAAAGCTTATGGAGGCATGCTTATAGGATCAAATAGTAACTGCCCCAATTTAATGTAATCCCTCTTTAAAGATCTTATCTCTCTATACAGGTACATTCTGAGGTTCGGGGGATTAGGATTTTAACATACATTTTGTTGATTACCCAAATCAGCCCTTAACAACCAACATGTTTCAGAAAGTAGATTCCTACAGGGTTATTTACCAAACATTCAGAAGTATTTTTAAAAGAGCTAAGCCCCTTGCCCACTGCGAGGGCCCCTCTCGGTGAAGAGCGAAGGCCTGGGTTCCAGGCACCGGAGGAAAACTGGTGCCAGCAGCCAGGGGAAGGGGCCCCCAAGGGGTCCCAGATTGCGAGAGGGCACAGGCCGGGCTGAGGGACCCACCCAAGTGCAAAAATTTTTGTGCACCAGGCCTCTAGTATATATATAAAAGCCCAGCGACCGGAATGGTGGAATGACCGAAACAACTGGTGGCTATGATGCGCACTGCGGTGAAACAACTGGTGGCTATGATGCACACTGCGGTAGCCAACCAGCCTGATCCGGGCCCCGATGGGCCGCCAACACCCTGATCAGGGGCAGGGCTGGGTGGCCAACTGCCTGCAGCCCCTCCTCCCACCGGCCCGGCCCAACGGGGCCCCATTGGGGCAGGCTGGCTGGACCCCCTGGACCCCACCTGTGCACAAATTCATGCACTGGGCTTCTAGTAGGACTGCTATTTGGGGAGAAGAACCCTTCTCACTTTGCCTTGGGCTCAAGGTTATAATCAGGTTTCAGCTGTCCTGTCTTTGGGGGCATATTTGAACTATCTCAGAGACAGAACATTGCCGTGGCCATTGTACAGTCCATGACAACAGAGGAGCTGAAAATTAAGCTAATTTCAAAGGGTTAGCTTTCTCTGTTATAAAAGCCGGATAACAGGCTCTTCTGTTACTGAGAAAAGCTAGGAGACTAGCTCCTCGGTTTGAAAATCTTATGAAGGCATTTAAACTCAATGATAAGTCATAAGTCAGAGGGAAAACTATTCAACCCTTAAGTGAGGAGTTTAGGACAACCCACTGCCCCTGTAGGACACTCACAATATCACTTATTATGTAACTGGTCTCTCTTTAGCAAAAACACTGTCCATCAAGGAGTTTAATGGCCAAAAAGGCTGGGTCAGGTCATCTTTGTGTAGTTTATCAGTTTAACATTCCTTTGTTTTACTTCTTTCTTATTGTCAACACACCACCCTGTTTTATTATGTCATAGAAACCCCAGAGAACCAGAATGGCTGACCTGTAGATACCACAGCTGATAGTCATTTAGTGCTATCAATGCCTAATGGAGATAAATTTACAGATGAACAACTAAATATATCTATTTTCCAGGAGTGTTTTCTATTACCCCAAAATAAAACAAAAAAATCCAAACAAAACCAAATGTTCTTACCTTCTATTTCCCAAGTGTTTTAAGGGGCAGGTAGTATGGATTTCTTGGCATTTTAACTTTGGAATTCCTCAGTACCATAGAGTGGATGTTTGTTTAGCATCCTGTGTACTAGAATACATTAATCTTTTATTTTAACCTAACATTTGTTGTTCTTGATGTTTACTATGGAATTGGATATTTAAGAAGTTAATAATTTTGACCCATTTCTATTTTTACTATAGATTTAGAATGGTGTCTTTCATTGGCTTAGAGAGGTGCTCTTAGAAATAGATGTAAATAGGGTTTTTACAAAATGTTGTGTCTTAGAAAAATGTTGGTCTACTTTAGTGCTCATATAGAGCAGGTAATGATTTTGTATAAATATGATTTTGATACCCTGGATATGAGTTGGGGCAAAAAATCTGCATACCTAACAAGTTCCCAGGTGATGCAGGCCTACAGTTCCATGAACCACACTGCGTGGGGAGGGTCCAAAGGAGTGTACTACTTAAAGTATTCCAATTCTTTTATAATTTAACAACCTTTTGTAAATTAAATAACCCCGTAATTTATCTGTTTAAAAAATGTATATTTAGTGCATAATGGAACACACTCTAGATATAAGAATTACAAGGATATTCAAAGAAAAGAAAGGTTATACAATTAA